GCTATAGCATATTCATTGTAGTAATATATTTGGTATTCATATACCCACTGCTTTCTAATTTGCATAATTGTTTTCATGAAATCAAATATAGCAGTACAGTATATATTTTTTCATTCATCACATTAAGTAGCATATGTAATGACACCCAATCATATTCTTTTTGTTTATGTTCTTGCTGAAGTATGTTTAGTTGATATCAGTCAGGGAAACTAAACCATCCATTTTTCATATTTGTGTAAAAAAATGATTTATAATTATGTTTACATTATAAGTTTTTTGTTTTCATCTGCATAATCAATGATTGTAAAATAGATGTGTACATTTAAATTCTTTGAAAATTATGGTTAATGAAAGCATTAATTACATAGATGAAGAGATTGTAAATGAATCAGTTTTCATATATTACGTTAATAATCAGTATAGATTTCCTAAAAAATATGCCAAACACTTCCTGATTTAGTCGTCCCACAAAATGCGTGAATTAAATAAGTTTGTATTGATTAATAAGTTCGATTATTTATTGAAATAAATTACCTATCAAGATAAAAAGGAGTTTTTATGTATATTTATATGAGTATGAGTTTAAATGAATATACCGAAGAAACTCCTGAAGCAAAAATAGGTCATTCCAGTTCTGTAAAAGGTGCATTCCGTGTGAATCCCCATGTAATCCCCATGAGCTCTCGGGGGCGCAGCTCTGGGCTCCTACTCTCTAGCTGAACTCCATACAATCGTTACACGCTATCGCTGACAGCTTTTGGTGATGCTGATTGGTGGGTCAAATCAAATTGCGTCGGGGACTGCTCACAATACAACGATTGCACTGAAAACACTGTAGCGATTTTAATGAAACCAGTCTTAAAGGGGCCTTGGAGGGCCCCTGCTACCTATACACAGCTTTGACCAATGGTGTAATGCCTTTGTGCTATCTTGTGCAAACGCCCAATCCCCAGTACCACAGGGTCCCCAGTTTTTTTGGAATGCTTCAAAGGACAGGAACAGAAACTTTCTATGGTTTTAAATGCAAAAGAATCCCCAAAAAACGAGGACCTTATTCTGTTTGGAAAATGTACTTTTCTTTTCTCTCTTTTTGTACCTTGTCTTTTTTCTACCTTCTTGTATTGTTTCTACCTTGACTTTTGTGTGTGTGTGTATGTGTGTGTGTGTGTTCCGGAGCCATATCCAGGATTAGGGATGAGGGGTACAGTCATATGCAAATATGGACCATGGGCTCAGGGAGTAGAGCTGGTTGTTGGATTGCAACTCATGGCAAATTCAATGCCTAACTACTGGCTTAACGATAGTTTTAGAGGTTAATGTGATGTAAGATTCCTTTTTAATATTCATTACAGAAAATAACAAAATTGATAATTATATTTTTGTATCTGAATGTAACGATGCGTGAATAGCGATACGTAAAGCCTGTTTTCCACTAGGCGAATTTATTCGCGCGAATCAAAGCGTCAGTTCGTTTCCTGAGTTCTGATTGGTTGTGCATTTTTTCGCTTAGCAAAAACTCCGATAGGAATGTGAATGCGCATGCGCATGAACCGACTCTTTCGATTCGCGCGAATAAATTCGCCTAGTGGAAAACAGGCTTAAGTATGACACTGTGCAGACAGCAGTGTAAATAGACTAAATTTACAATTTGTAAACATTCAAATTGATTCCGTAGTTAAATAATAGCAGAATAGTCGCACAAGGCCCTATCATGAAAAATAGCATTGCCTATAATGCAGTCTCTCTTTATTACTCTTTTGGGAGAGAAAATTTTCCCTTACAAACACACATCCCCTATGCCCAATTCGTGGCGAAAATTTTTACTAGGGCCCAAACACCTTCTCGCCCCCGGGCCCCCCTGACTCGCCGTTACGCCACAGGATATCTCAGTTAACCCGCCTGTTTTTAAGGAAGTTAACTACAGATGGGCCTGTAAATTAGAATTGCTGACTCCCCTGTAGTCTGTCATACATGATGATGGCCATGTCCATGAGTCCGTGCAACATTACTGCGAGTGGTCCCCTACAGGTTGGAATCCCGCCGTATGAGGTATTTTTTAGACAACTGTGTAGAATCTTTCAGTTGAAGAGTATGCTTATAATGATCATAAAATCGATTGTTCCTATTATTCGAGCACTGTTTCTGTAATTTACTAATTTACAAAGATATTTGTATAAGCCCTACAGGTGTGGCCTAAAATTCAGACGCCTTGGGCAATAGCTGTAGGCCTACTTCATTTTGAATTGCAACTCGATTTGATCCTGCTTTTAAAGTGCATTAAATTGATTAGCTTCCTTTTTGTTTGAGGCTTGATATAGTTTCAGGTGTACACTTTAGTATTTTTTTTTACCATACTCATATTCTAGCTTTATTTATTTGCGTTTTGCGTTAAATAAATGTTTTTTTATCCTGTCCGATCGTCTGTGTTTTCATCTCTCTAGTGTTCGAATCCCGCTTAGGGCAAATTAAACATATTATTAATACTTGCATATATAATTCAAGTTATACATTCTAATAGAATATTTCCATTTTACTTCCATCTCAGTTAATATGGCACCATACGGTTGTGGCGACGTACATCTCTGCATTCAGCACCGGATAATGTTTTCACGGCACTATTCAAGAGTAAGCCCGGGCTGCTAACGAATATCAAGCAAATATGTGGCGAATATCCCCACTCAAGATTGAGAAAATTCGGGGATTAAGATTGAGGAAATGAATAAATCCATAAAGGTCATGAAAGCAGTACAGTAGAGATGATCCAATAACCGACTATGGATGAGGGAAACTACCATAAAAACTTGAATAGAAGCCAACTGGACTTAATCTCGAAAAGAAGCCCATCTCGAATTGAAGTCACCACCCACTCACCACCCTCTCGAAAAGAAGTCCAACATATAGCATTGGCTTCTTTTGGAGATTATACAGTAGGCCATTGTACATGAATTTCAAACATACAAATTAATTAAAAACATGCTTTGTTTTATACGAGTTTGGTGATTTAATGTCGGTAATACACTCCATGATACAGACTGATGTTATAACATTGGCATATTTATTGTTTTATACTATTAGTATAATTCCCAAAATCTCGACAAGAAGCCCATCAAAAGCTCGCAAAAAGCCCAGGGCTTCTATTCAAGGTTTTACGGTATTTGGTCAACTTTTGGGTTACATGGAGAGAATAGATTCATCGGACAATAAAATGAATTTGACTAGAACTTAAACTAATTGGCCCTAGAGTAGACCTGTAACGTTATATTTAGGGTGTTACTGGTCACATATAAATGTTAAGTTGTTAATATATTTTGGTGTATATCTATAGTAATTCTACTCTATTAATGTTGGGTGTTTTTTTTTTTTTTTTAGATTACTGATTTTCATCAAGTGCAATTTTACCTTTTTGGAAACTATAGTACGATACTCAAACCTGCCAACTCCACCCACTGGTGATTATAAAACTATTAACAAGTTAGTTTGATTTAAATTTAGCCTAATGTTAATTCAATATTTGACTTAAATGATAGCTACAGTACTTCGAACGTTGTGGTCAGAAAATGACGTTATCATCATCAACGAAATCTTTCTTTGTAAGTTTTTCCAATACGATTTTTTAAAACGAATGTTGAAAGATTAAGAATCTCTAATAAATAAAATCCGATCCTTTTATTATGTCAGTCAAATGTTTGCATGAAATTTATCTCGCAAGGATAGGAACATAATGAAAAAGTTGAAATTACTGAGGAAACAAGAAAGGACAATACTATATTTTAAGTTCACTGGATAGAGTACTTTATGTAAAGGACTAAATTTACGTCTTAGTGAAAATGAAGAAAACTATTCCTGTTTTATCATGTAAAACATCTATATAGACCAAAATCCACAAGAACTAAAACTAGAGATACTTTTCAACTAGACATTACCAAAACTCTGCAGTGATATTGATAAAACTTGGTAAACTACAAGTTGAAATTTTTTTTTAAATGAAGAATACAATAATTATTAAAATCATCTAGCATATGCAAAAAAAAAAGACTTTTCAGTGTGTGTGTCAGGGTGAATGACTAACTTTTTTTTTATCTAATAATACCAGCTTTCTTGTATTTATTTCCCAGAACACAAAACGTTAATTTTATCAACATTCGCGAACGTTGCGTTGTGGTTGGTTGTCAGAAAATTTGTTACCACAAAGTTGCAGCAACCTACGTTTGCAACGTTAGTCAGACTGTTATAAATACGTATATCAAGAAAACTATATTTAATTTTGTATCAAACCGCAACGCTATATTACGTTAAAATGTACCGTACTCAGTTGAATGACGATTGAACTTCAAACGCTAAAAAAATGATTGTTGTTAAAGAATAAAGCTTTAGATGGAAAGTCCGAAAAATAAATACAGTTACAGTACATCGATGATTTTGGTGATGGTCCCGTAGAACATTTACTGATATTGGCTGTATCTCTATTCGTTTATGCTTGTTTAAAAGGCCTATAGAACGCCGACTTCTCAAGTTAGTAAATTGCATTTCAGAGCCGTGTCTTCAAATCGTCTGACACCACGAAGCTTACAAATCCTTTTTTTTTCTTACATTATGATTATATGCCTACATCGAACTCTACCTTTTCACGTAAGCTTGCAACTACATTATTTAGTTAATTAGACTAGAATGGTCTAAAAAATACATTTTGTGTCTGACACGAAGAGACACAAACGTGGCTGTACTATGGCAAAAGATGTGGCGGCGCCAGCGGGGGGCAGGGGGCT